TTCTAGGAGGTATTGTAGGTCTTCATAGAACTGGTCTACTTCAGCCTCTTCTGCATCAGTGGTTGGGGCATAGACTTGAATTACTGTGATGTTGAATGGTTTGCCTTGGATTTGGACTGAGATCATTCTGTCGTTTTTGAGATTGTATCCCATTACTGCCTTTCACACTCTCTTGTTGACTATAAAGGCCACACCATTTTTTCTATGGGATTCTTGGCCACAATAGTAGATATAATGGTCTTCTGAGTTAAATTCGCCCATTCCTGTCCACTTTAGTTCACTGATTCCCAAGCTGTCAATGTTCAGTCTTGCCATCTCATTTTTGACCACGTCAAGCTTGCCTTGATTCATAGATCTTACATTCCAGGTTCCAATGCAGTATTGTTCTTTGCAACTTTGGACTTTCCTTTCACCATCAGACACATCCACAGCTGAGCGTCCTTTTGGCTTTGGCCCAGCCGCTTCACTCTTTCTGGGGTTACTTGTACTTGCCCTCTGCTCTTTCCCAGTAGCATATCGGACACCTTCCGACCTGAGGGGTTCATCTTCTGGTACCATATCTTGTAGCCTTTTGTTACTGTCCATGGGGTTTTCTTGGCAAAGATACTGGAGTGGGTTGCCATTTTCTTCTCTAGTGGATCACACTTGGTCTGAGTTCTCTGCTGTGCCCTGTCCATCCTGGGTGGCTCTCCATGTCATAGCCCACAGCCTCCCCGAACCACGCAAGCCCCCTCACCATGTCAAGGCAGTGATCTTTGAGGGAGCCTCTGCTAAATATATTTATCTAATTCCCTCTTGAAGCTGTCCATGCTTATAGCTGCCACCTCCTGTGGTAGTGAATTGCATGTGTTAATCACTCTTTGGGTGAAGAAGTACTTCCTTTTATCCGTTCTAACCCGACTGCTCAGCCATTTCATTGACTGCCCAAGAGTTCTTGTATTGCAAGAAAGGGAGAAAAGTACTTCTTTCTCTACCTGCTCTTTCCCGTGCATAAACTTATAAATCTCGATCATGTCCCCCCTCAGCCATTGTTTCTCCAAGCTAAAGAGCCCCAAGTGCTTTAACCTTTCCTCATAGGGAAAGTGTTCCAACCCTTTTATCATTCTAGTTGCCCTTTTCTGCACTTTTGCCAATGCTATAATATCCTTTTTGAGGTGTGGTGACCAGAACTGTACACAGTATTCCAAATGAGATTGCACAATTGATTTATCCAGGGGCATTATGATATTGGCCGATCTGTTTTCAATTCCCTTCCTAATAATCCCCAGCATAGCATTGGCCTTTTTTATTGCAGTCACACACTGTCTCGACATTTTCATTGAGTTATCTACTACGACTCCAAGATCTCTCTCTTGGTCAGTCTCTGCCAGTTCAGACCCCCTCAATGTGTATTTATAGTTAGGATTTTTGGCTCCAATGTGCATCACCTTGCACTTGGCCACATTGAACCCCATTTGCCACGTTGATGCCCACTCGCCCATCCTCGACAGATCGCTTTGGAGTGCCTCACAATCCTCCCTGGTTTTCACCACCCTGAACAACTTCGTATTATCCACAAATTTAGCCACTTCACTGCTTATTCCCAACTCCAAATCAATCCAAATGAACAAGTTAAAATCCAAATGAACAAGTTAAAAAGGATTGGATCAAGTACTGATCCCTGTGGTACCCCACTGCTTATCACCTTCCACTGAGAAAATTGCCCATTTATACTCACTCTCTGTTTCCTATCAATTAGCCATGGAACATGTTGCTAAGAGGGATATGTGCAATTGAGTGTTTTTTAAAGCAACATAAAATGCAGGTTGGATATGTTCAGCATCCCAAAACTCTCTACAGTTTTCTTATTTTTCAGGCACTAACTGGCTTGATCACATCCTAAACAACATGGAATGTACAGCTGCAAAATATACAGAAGAAGAAATGAAAAAGTTAATGGATTTTGAAAAGGAATTGGAAGTAACTCCACGCCTTGAGTTTGGAGATCCAGATAAATTCGAGGTTAGCATGAGAGAAAAGTTACTGATGCTAGAAATGCCCTCTTTGAAAGGATAAGCAGAACATTTTGGTATTTCTTTTCTATTAAATTTGGCTTTTGTACATGAGTTTATTTACTGGTAGCGATGGGCATGAACCGACTCACAAAAGTAAATTTGTAATGAATTTTGGCTGAAGTTCATGAACTGAAGAGTCGCCATGAACTTCCATGAATTTTAAGGCAGTGTGTGGTGGTTCATGAAGAACAGAAAGCAGAGGTTTAAATGTCTTGGAGCTCTTCACAAAAAAACAACAACAGCTGAGCAGTTGTTTTTCATCAGAAAGCAGGGGTTTAAATGCCTCTGAGCCATTTTCACATATCTTATGGCATTCCTGCTTCTCATAGCTTTTCGTGGGGAAACTCCTGCTTTCTGCTTCCCATGAAAAGCAGGCCATTTATACTCCTGCTTTTTGTTCCCTGCTGCTTTTGATGAGGAGCAGGAAGCAGAGGTTTAAATGCCTCTGAGCCATTTAAAGTGCTTTTTGCTCCTCACCACTTTTTGCGGGAAGAACCCCTACTTTCTGCCCCCCACAAAAAGTAGCAGGGAGCAGAAAGAAGTGGTCACAAACTGCTACAAACTGATTTGGTTCATGACTCAACCTCCCAGTTCATATCAGTTCCTGGTTCAATTAATGGTTGAGCCATGAAACACGAACTGTTCTTGCACATCCCAATTTAGTGGTGCTCCTTGAACTATGAGCAAAACTAGAAGTAGGAATTTGATTTCCTACACTGGAAGAAAATGCTATTTTATAGGGAGTGCCTGTGAGGTAAAATTTTGAAGCAACCAATTCCTTCTGCATCAAGATGAAACAGGCCCTTTGGATTCTTGTGCACACACTCTCCTCCCTTTGCTGACTTGCTAAAGGGAACTAGCCTTCTTATTATAAAAGTTGCACACATCAGGCCTTCTCTGAGGTCCAGACCGATCCAATCTATTTCTAGTTTTTGAGGCCCTTAGCCATACTAAAAATTTTCAAGTTGGCATATTTAAAAGATGCACACAAAACAAGTTATTATACTTATTAAATGCCAAAAATTCACAGTGTCTAAATCTGAGGCCCCCTTTGAGGCCAAATAATCACTTAAGGTCTAATTTGCCATATGACAATTTTTAAGAGCAAGGGGTTACCCAGAATTTGTTATAAATAGTGCTAGAAGTAGAGCTGATCAGGTGGAGAGAAAACAACTTTTACAATATAGGGAGAAACTGACTCGTGGTGATACGGCTTGTGCCTTTCAATTTTCCTATTTGGCTAATAATATCAGATGTATCATATATAAAAATTGGCATATAGTCTCACATCTGCCTGGTTGTAGCAAGCCTCCAGATATAGGTTTTAGGAGGGACCAGAATTTGAGGAACATTCTAGTAAGATCAAACATTTCAGTAAATAAATCAGATGGAGGTGACAGTAGCACCAGAGTTTCCCATAAATGCTGGAGATGTGCAGCGTGCAAATTCATGTTGGAGGGCAATGCATTTTAAGATCTTAGTAAGAATATAAAAATTAAAGGCCCTTTTTTGCAACATGTTCATCCAAAAATATTGTGTATATTTCTATCTGCCCTTGTGGATTACAATATGTAGGCATGTCCACACGCTGTATTAGGATATGTGTCCTTGAGCATCACTCAAGAGTTCATCATAAAATTGTTCAAGCACCTATGATAGAGCATTATATTCAGACCAGCCACCTTTAGTGTCTGGCCTTGGGACCTGTTGATGGTCATAGCAAAGTAGATCTTGAGGGGGAACTGCAGCCTCTTGAATTCAAAGGGGTTTTCTGATGGTATGAGTGGTATGTGTGGCATGAACACCGACTCTCCCTGTGCACTGCCACTGAGCAGCTGATTTCTGATGATGTTCCTGTACAGGGGTGCACCTCACAGTTGGTTGTTGGCCATTCCTGATTTCCTCAACTATCACAATCTCTCTGCAGTCTCCTGTAACTGGTTTTTTTTTTTACCTCAGAACACTGAGCTCCGCAGCTGACCAATCAGAGAGTGGGGGGTGCAAGGAGGCAGCAGCCTAGCAGCTACATAGGAAGCAATGGGGGGGGAGAGAACATTTTACATGAGTTTATTTACTGGTAGCCCTTTTGACCCCCCCCCCTTAGGTGTTGAATTTCTAAAATTCCCTTCTTAGTGAGCATCTATGCCATGGTAGGAATGCTCTCCCCGAATTTGGTGTCTCTAGGTCCAGCGGTTTGGCCTGGGCATTGATTTTATAGTGAGGGGACTTTCTTTTATATATATATAGATGGATATTGGAGGTATTGCATGTTATATTATTACTTACAGTTCCACTATTCAGCCGCTTAATCAGAAGAAGAAAATTTGAAATATCCATATACCTGGGAAAGGTGTTTGGCTGTAAGAGATTTCCCACTGGTCATCCTCGGTTTTATTTATGACTGATGGAGGACTTTGGGCACTTTTATTGCACTCAGGCTAGGAGGACTGACCTGTTGGGCTTACTTATGTGCATACCTTGTGTCATGATCTGTGCAGGACTGGGTGCAGGGCCTGGTGAGGCCTGGTCCCAGGAGAGACCTGTCGGCAGTTGAAAGCAGACAGCTTACAATCCCCATAATGCTTAGAGAGGGTTATAGCCAATCAGAGTGCAGAGATTCTGTGAGGAGAATCTGTCTTAAGCTGTTAACTGTGGAAAACAGGGTTCTTTCATCTCTCTCTGCGGCCTGGTCACTGCAGGGACAGGCTGGTCTGGGGGAGAGAAAGATCCCTAACTGCTGTCATCTCTCTGCAGCCTGGTCTCACTGAGGGGACAGGCTGGTCTGAGGGAGAGCAAGATTCCTCACTGGGACAGAGTGAGAACAGGTAGCGTAGCCTGATATAAAAGGCAGGCTGTGGGCCTGGAAGTAGTAACAGTTAAGGAGTAATCGGTAGCTGTGTTAGCTTTGTGTTTATTTTGCCTTTTCAACACTGTTATTAATGTTTCTCTGCCTTGATCAGCACACTTACGTTCCTCAGCTACAAAGGGGCAATTTGAAGGGGCTTGGGAGGGTACCCTGGGCCTTCTCAAGGGACCCGAATTCCAGGGTGGTGGCAGCAGAAGGTGGCAACCTGCTGGGGTCATGACACCTTGTCATCAGCACCTGTGAGCACAACTACTATGATGTTATTTTGTATTTCAGTATTGGTATATGATATGCCATGAGCACATGTGCTTATATTTGAGAACATTGTATGTATTTTGGGTTGTGGACCTCCAACTCAATGTAGATGCTATTTGAAAATTTAAACATTTCTTCAATATATCCTATACTTAGACATTTCAAGTGTATATAATCTTTGATGGTTTTTCCCTTGGTGTTTTCTGCTGTTTCCCACCATTGGCCAGGCATATATTAGCACTAGTAGCTTAAAGAGATGGTATAGTCATCAAATGTAGTCTGAAGGTGCAACCTCCGTGACAGTCACCAGGTGGTGCTATTTTGTTACTTGGGTTTTGATTTTAATGTTACAGGCAGAAACAATTACAAGATGAAATGAAGATGATACTAGAGAAAAATTGTATCATTCATAGCAACAAATAGTCCACTGACCTAACTGTTCTATCAATAAATTCCCTATTTCAAGAAATCTGATTCCTAGCTCACTGTCAGGTTTAATTAAACAAAGGAGAGCATTCTAGCATAACTGTCATGATCTGGGCTGTGCCACCAGAGGCCTACTAGGCCCAGGGAGCCTGGCTAGCAGTAAGTGAGGCTGGGCCTACAACTCCCAGAAGCCCCTGAGAGGTTTTGGAGCCAAAATTGACCAATAGGAAAAGAGGAGGGCTTGGAATAAAAGATCTGGAGCAGCAGGAAAAGCTGTTCTTCTTCCCAGAGGGCAGAGACAAAAGGAAGGCTGCTGCAGAAAGAAACCCTCATCCTGAGGGAAGGGTGAGTAGACTAAGGCCACTGGAGATAGTGAGCTAGGGATAGTATATTTAGACGCGTAAGGGCATTTGATTTCTTTTCCTTTCACCCAGTTACTGTTATTCTGCACCTTGTTGTTTAACCGCCTATAAAATAAACCTTTTCCTTATTGTACTCTGTAGGGCTGCCAAACCGTGGTGGGGGATCCGTGCGTCGTCACAGGATCGCTGCCGCGGGGGGACAGCGATCCGCGTTGCATCGGCGTTGCCAGGATGTGACGCTATGCGTCGCTCTGGCAACAGGGCTGTTTGGAGTCCCATTGCCAGGGCGACACGTAACGTCACATCCTGGCGACGCCGGTGCAACGTGGATTGTTGTCCCCCTGCGGCAGCGATCCTGCGACGACGCACGGATCCCCCGCCGTGGTTTGGCAGCTCTAGTACTCTGCCTGTTCCTCATGCCTATTATTCAGCCAAAAAGGAGGTCTGAAGGTCTTGGGAGGGAGCTCTGGGCCTTCTCAAGGAATCATAAATCCAGAGTGGTGGCAGCATCAGATGACACCCCACCTGAGCCGTAACAATAACAAAGGGTGAATTCCTGAAATGATGCAGATATGGTGAGCATCCCCCTCCCACACAGAAAAAAGACACAGTAAAGGGAATGTGCCAGGAAAGATGCAAACATGCCAGGAAAGGAGGAAAATGTTTCACACAGTCTTCCTGGACTGTTTTGGATTTCCAGTCCACCTCTGCCTGTGCAGATGGAGCAGGTAAAGGGCCACTAGTGGTCAATGGGATAGTCATCCCATGTTAACTGTGTGTCAGCTAGCTGCCATAGAAGACTGTGTACCAATAGTCCTCCCCCCCCCGCTGCCAGACATCTGTGCATGCCCTATCTTCCCCGTGTATTGTCTTGTGCCATGCATTCCTGTCTGTAAACGCTAGGCAACGCTTATCTACAAGGTTAACAGGTGTGTGGAGGAGCCGCTTCGCTTGAAGTATAATGAACTGCTACCGTGTGAAGCTGTAATTGTTTATGATTTAGGAAACGTTGATTCTCAGACTTTTGAGCGCGAACCTAGGAGTCTGCCCGCTCGGCGGGAACCAAGATTATTGGTTAGTGTCCTGTTTGAATGTCTTACATTATCCCTTGCCCACCCTGGCCCGGGTATTCTGGACAGTGAACTTGTTCCTGCTCTATCATGGCTTTAATAAAATACTACTTCGAATAAACGTGTATTGGACTTATAGCTGTGGGGGACCGGACACTGTGCTTCATATTTGGTTGTAATCTGCCTGGACTTCTCACTTTTGTTAAGAATTCCGCATAACAGCTTCTTGAAGGATGTCTCAGTCAGTTCTAATTAAGGTGGTTGTCTGCAGGGAGGGCATGTGTCTACTTAGCCCCTAGCTCTTGACTTCAGGTTATCACACTTTGTCAAACTTGTTCACAAGAGTTTGGATCTGGTAACATCTGCCTCATCCAAACCCCCAAGAAAGAAAAGTGCCCATGTTGTTCCCAGGTCTTCAGGAAGCAACATTTGGCCCACAGGTTGTACTTACATTTGTAGATGATGTCCACAATGCCATACACAATGTCTTCGAAGAGAATATAATCAGTGATGGGATTATATAAAAAGAAAAGGCTCTGTTGCATATGGTTTAAATAAGGCGTATTTAAAATGTGGGAGATAACTAAGTGTTTTCTCTTTCTTTGAAGAGGATGAAGAAACTACCTTCTAGAAGAATCATCATTACTCATCTGTCTCCTCATTCACTACCTTCATCTATTTTTAAAAATAAAGCCAAGGTGAGTGAACGTAAGTCTTATGCACAACCAAGGATGATTTTGTGATAAGGCAAATGAGGCTTGGGGGTCTCAACTGTTCATCACAAGGTCTCTGTCTGCTCAGTCCTGGACAGGGGTCATTTCATAGAAAAAGAGGTGCAGGAGCTCATTAGCATAACTCATTAGCATAACTTATTTGCATATGCCACACACCCTGACATCACCGGAATTGTGTCAGAAGGCAACACCCACTGCTCAGGCTCCACTGGACTGTTTTGGATTGCTAGCTATTGGGGGGGGGATGTGCAGATCTGTCCTCGCAGAGGAGGAAGAGCTTGTACCTGAATAAAACTTGGTCTTAAAGGTGCCACTGGACTGCTTTGGACCGGGGGGGGGCGGGTGAGGTGCGGGAGGGCGGGGCCTGGAGCTCCCTGCTGGTGCCCGCTGGAGGTTGCCGCCGGCTGTGGGGAGGACACACTTCCGGTGATGTCAGGGGGTGTGGCATATGCTAATGAGTTATGCTAATGAGTCCCCCTAGCTCTTTTTCTACGAAATGACCCCTGGACCACATAATACAGCTTAGTAGCAAAAAAAGAATTTACTAGCCAATCTGCCAACAATATACTTCTGTTAGTTATTTCAGGCCTTAAAAAGACAGAGGAAAGGAGGGCCATGATTTATACCAATTTATCCTCAGTGATTTCTGCTCAGTAACCTGTACTTTGAAACATTTAGGTGATGGCAAAATTGTAAATGCATAATTTTTTCCCTTCATCTTGCAGATACTGGTTCTGATTCGAAACCCCAAAGACACGCTGGTATCCTATTATCATTTTAAAAACACAGTGGGTTTTTTTCCTCCTTCAACATGGGATGACCATTTTACCAGTTTTATGGATGGGAAAGGTATCCTTCCTATCTTGCAGCAGTTGTTAATAATATAATGTAGGGACTAATTTGGGATGCCTTTTGTACCCAGCTCTGCTTTTGGATGCCTAGGCAGTGATTGTGGCTATAACAGAGAGCCACCCTGAGCTGGCCTCAGATGGGAGGGACGGGAAGATGATGATGATGATGATGATGATGATGATGATTATTATTATTATTATTATTCTATCAGCTTTGGTTGATGTAACAGCTGCACCTTTTCCTGGAGACTTAAGCCATGGCCATGATGTCAAATGCTACAGCAACTGCTCAGCTTAACTACTATCATGCATTTATTTGGGAATACTCTTATTTGGGGCAGGGAATGGCAAACCACCCGTGAATGTCTCTTGCCTTGAAAACCCTACAGAGCCGCCATAGGTTGGCTGCAAATTGATGGCACTTTTCACCATGACCAGTGGCTGGGAGTATGTGTCAGCTCCTGGAATCTTCTGTGAACTGCACTGCTTGCCATGTTGTTTCCAGATTAGATTTAAAGTTTTGACTCTGACTTTTGAAACTCTCTAACCAGCTCTGTTCAGCTCACTATCAACAAACTCAAGCAGCTGGTGACAATGTTTCTGGCTGCCCCACTGCTGCTGAATTTGGGTGGGAAGTCAAAAGCCATTTCTCAGCTGATTGTGGGGATCAGCTGAACGTCAGCTTCTGATCATCTGCCCAAGAAACTTCACTGCCTTCCGGACTGGTTTGGGTTTTTTTTGGGTGGGGGTGGAGGGTGGCAGGAGGATGTCAGAAGCTGACTGTTAGCTGATGAGGAGGTTCAACTGAGAGTTGACTCCTTATCTCCCATCCAAGAAACTGTGTTGGCTCCCAGGAGACACCATATCATAAACACATTTATGCATCTTTGAACTCCTGAGATGTAATCTTCATCCAGTCAGGGGTCCAAGGTACATGTACAATGTGTATAAAGATGCATGCACATACACATGTAATATCCACACAGCCAGTTTGTTGTGGGAAAGACTGATATAATGCTAGTGTTTTCTACAGCAGTCGTAATGTATTAAACTCCTCTATGAAGCAGGCTAAATGACTTATGTTTGAGAGAGATTGTTCAGAATACTTAGAGTGACTTTGAAAATGCTGGTCTTTAAAGCTATAGCCTCTCTGTTATTATGCAATGTATATCCCTTTTATTTCTCACCAGTGGCCTGGGGCTCCTACTTTGACTATGTAGCAGAATGGGACAAATATATTGATGAGGAAAACATTATTGCCATCAGTTATGAAGAACTACAGGAGGTGAGGCTCCGTGATACCGAAGTCACATGGGGATTCATGCTAATACCGATACAGAAGAGTCATATGTACAAAAGCCCTCTATTATATGTGGATTTCATATCTGTGATAAGGGCATACATATCTGCCATTCCATATCTGATAAAAACAGTTTGCATGTTTATACCATACTATTTATTTATTTACTTCATTTATAGCCTACCTTTCTCGCTAAGACTCAAAGTGGATGACCATGTATATAACTCTTTCTGTATATAAAACTCTGTTTATATATGTGTATAGGGGTGTGTGTGTGCATAGAGAAAGAGAGGTTTACAGAGAATAGGCCATTGTAGTGGAGCCAGCTGTGAAGGGTGGGGTTCTAACTACTGTTTAGACAGAGAGAGCCATCCATTCAGCCATCCATTGCCCTTAACTGGGTGTTACCTATTCTGCCCACCCACCTTATAGGCGTACAGGGAACAGGTGTCTGACAGAAAAGGACAGAACCTCTGCCCATCCCCTACACCAATTTATCTACATAATAGCCCATTCAGTATCTTAGCCCTCAACAGTTTTGATTTCACTAAGCAACTAAGACGTTCCCTTGATACAAATCTCTGCTCACCCAGCTGTTATTATCTCTGCTGCATAGAAAAAGGACAGACTTGTCTAAGGAAAGTGGGGATAGGGAACTCTGTTTTAATCAGAACTGAATTGTGTGGGTGAGGACGACTAATTCCTATGCCCTGCCAAATCTTATTATAGTACTTTGGGTGAAATATAATTTTTAAAAAGTTTTAATCTAAAAGAAAGTATCCCCAATTGAATATGGAAAGAGAAGCAAGACCGATAGTTGAATCTACCTTTAGTTTGTTGGTGTGTGCAAACTGCAAAGCCAAGAGGAAGCTGGAGGGGCACTAATGGCACAAACCCAGGGTCTGGTCACACGGACCTCTTACCGCGCTAGTTGTCCCGCAGTTCTTATATCCGGGACATTCTATATCGCTTGGAGGTGGTCAGACGGTCCCTCTGTCTTCCGCTTCACTCGCGCGATTTAGTGTTCACACACCGCGCCGTCCTCGTGGCGGCGCGGGTATTTTTTTTTAAAAAAAACCCCTGCACATGCGCTTGTCTTTCCATGCGCTTGGGCGTACATACAAACTAATTAAAATTAATTCCTCCTGTCAACAGTCGAAGACTCCTGGCTTTCTATGCAGAAGGGAAGGAGGAAACTCGGGATGGGAGAGCTAGACCGAGGAGGAGGGGGGGCAGTTGTTCTTAAACGGCGTCCAGTGTGTTGTACTGACAGTTTTCTCCATCGGCGCTGGAAGTAACTTGAGAGGGGCGCTCAGTCCGCTGCGCCCCCCCACCTCCCAGCAATGAGTAAGCGGGAGAGTAACCAGGAACCAGAGCCGCCTTTGCCGCCTCGCCTCGCCTCCCCCGGCTTCGCCTCCCCTGCTGCTGCTGCTGCCTGGCAGCTTGTGTGTTTCAGATATCAGCAGCAAAATGAACGGGGGGGAGGAGGAGGGGGCGAGACGAGAGCTGCTTGCTTGCGAGGCAGCCGACGGAGTGCAGTGGAGTGCAGTCGGCTCAGTGGGGCTTACTCCTTCGTTAGCGTGTTTCGTTTTAAAAAGACCAAAATAAAAGCTAGCGCCTGTTTGCACAAGCGCATAACTAAAACCGGAAACACACACAAAAAAAACCCAGGGGGGAGGGTAGCGCGGTCACGGCGGATTGCTGTCCAGATACCAAAACCGCGGATACAAAGCGCTAAATATCGGAAAACACCTGTCCCAACGGGTGTCAAAAAAACGCGGATAAAAGAGCGGAAACCGCGGGACTCTGCCGGCTTCTGTGCGGGAGGCGGGTTTGCCTATGTAGACGGGAACCTTTAATGCGGGAGGGATCAGCAGCGAATCCCGCACTAAACGTCCGTGTGACCAGACCCCCAGTGTGACTCTCACACTTCATTAACACTTTAATGGTAATCTAACAGATGCGTTATTGTTGCCCCACAGGTGTAATATACAAATGTTTAACATACTGTCTTTTGTCTTTACGTATAGAATCTGAATGTGGGATTGAAAAAAATAGCTCAGTTCCTTGGATTTTTTCTGAATGAAGAAGAGGTTCAAAATATAGTGGACAAGAGTACCTTCACAGCTATGAAACAGAAAGCCTCAGAAACTCATGGATCATTTGGAAACATCTTCTTCCGTAAAGGTACATTTCAATGGGGAAAAGAATATACCTATATTTTCCAAAGTGATCACTATATCAATTGAGACAGGATTTGGGCCGGAATGCCCTGGAACGGTGTTCCAGCTGGCATCTGAGCTCGCCCTGCCCCATCCAGGCACCCAGAGGAAGGGCCGCAGAAGGGGTGCCTTTTCCAAGGGAGCCCAGTGCGGCTTCCCTACATTGCACCAATGACGCAGACCTGGGAATAGGCCCCGCGACCGCCCCACTGCTGGAGGACATCTGCCGCCCCACCCCCTCCCTCCAGCGGTAGCTCTGGCTTTGGCAGCGGGATGAGCAGCCCTCCTTGGTGAGTGGCAGTGGTGGCAGGAGCATCACCGGTGCTGTCTGGCTCGGCAGCCAATCCAGGCACCCTGTGACCTCCTGCCCAGCCCCGGCACCAAGAGGTGGAGCACGCGGCCAGGCACGCCTGCTAAGGTGAGTCTGCCGCCACCGCAGGATTCACTCGTGCGTGAGCTCCAGTGGGCGGGTGAAGAGCACTTCCTCCCCAAAGGGAGACTGATGGGCAAGCCCTTCCTCCTCGCCCCCCCAATCCGGCTGTCTCCCAGCTGACTGCAGGCCTCCGTGGGCCCAGGCATGGAGAACTTGCGCAGGGTGGCCCCCGGCTGCGCCCGTGGGGGTTTCTCTACTGTTCCACTGCGACAGTTCAGCTCACTTGAGTACAGCCTTCTGCAGGTACCTACTCCTCCTCCTCCTCCTCTCATAGGCATAGAATACAAGGGGGTGCGGGGGTGCCCCCCAAATTTTCTAGGGGGGCTGACCTCCCCCGGGCTCCTGAGTCCCTGGCAGCCCCAGGTCCTGCAGCAGCCATCGGGAAACTAGTAGGAAGCTGCCGGACTCTTCTGTGTCTGCCTGAGTTCCTTTGCTGTTTGGTAATAGGCACCTGCTGAGGGACCTCCTCCAGCCAGCCCAATCTGTTGGAAAGAAAAAGAACATGGTTTTGTGTGTCTGTGTGTGTGAGAGAGAGAGAGTGAGAGAGGGAGACAGAGAGAGCACCTCCGTGTATGAATGTGAAGAGAAACAGCCTGCTTGGGGGGGAAGAAACCTTCAGGTTGAAAGATATAAATCCTTTTAAAATACGTATAAATAAATAATAGAGAGAGAGAGAGAGAGAGAGAGAGAGTCTCCGTGTATGAATGTGAAGAGAAACAGCCTGCTTGGGGGGGAAGAAAGAGAACGTGTGTGTGAGTGTGTGTGTGTGTGTGTGTGAGAGAGAGAGAGAGAGAGAGAGAGAGAGAGAGAGAGTCTCCGTGTATGAATGTGAAGAGAAACAGCCTGCTTGGGGGGGAAGAAAGAGAACGTGTGTGTGAGTGTGTGTGTGTGTGTGTGTGAGAGAGAGAGAGAGAGAGAGAGAGAGAGAGAGAGAGTCTCCGTGTATGAATGTGAAGAGAAACAGCCTGCTTGGGGGGGAAGAAAGAGAACGTGTGTGTGAGTGTGTGTGTGTGTGTGTGTGAGAGAGAGAGAGAGAGAGAGAGAGAGAGAGAGAGAGTCTCCGTGTATGAATGTGAAGAGAAACAGCCTGCTTGGGGGGGAAGAAAGAGAACGTGTGTGTGAGTGTGTGTGTGTGTGTGTGTGAGAGAGAGAGAGAGAGAGAGAGAGAGAGAGAGAGAGTCTCCGTGTATGAATGTGAAGAGAAACAGCCTGCTTGGGGGGGAAGAAAGAGAACGTGTGTGTGAGTGTGTGTGTGTGTGTGTGTGAGAGAGAGAGAGAGAGAGAGAGAGAGAGAGAGAGAGTCTCCGTGTATGAATGTGAAGAGAAACAGCCTGCTTGGGGGGGAAGAAAGAGAACGTGTGTGTGAGTGTGTGTGTGTGTGTGTGTGAGAGAGAGAGAGAGAGAGAGAGAGAGAGAGAGAGAGTCTCCGTGTATGAATGTGAAGAGAAACAGCCTGCTTGGGGGGGAAGAAAGAGAACGTGTGTGTGAGTGTGTGTGTGTGTGTGTGTGAGAGAGAGAGAGAGAGAGAGAGAGAGAGAGAGAGAGTCTCCGTGTATGAATGTGAAGAGAAACAGCCTGCTTGGGGGGGAAGAAAGAGAACGTGTGTGTGAGTGTGTGTGTGTGTGTGTGTGAGAGAGAGAGAGAGAGAGAGAGAGAGAGAGAGAGAGTCTCCGTGTATGAATGTGAAGAGAAACAGCCTGCTTGGGGGGGAAGAAAGAGAACGTGTGTGTGAGTGTGTGTGTGTGTGTGTGTGAGAGAGAGAGAGAGAGAGAGAGAGAGAGAGAGAGAGTCTCCGTGTATGAATGTGAAGAGAAACAGCCTGCTTGGGGGGGAAGAAAGAGAACGTGTGTGTGAGTGTGTGTGTGTGTGTGTGTGAGAGAGAGAGAGAGAGAGAGAGAGAGAGAGAGAGAGTCTCCGTGTATGAATGTGAAGAGAAACAGCCTGCTTGGGGGGGAAGAAAGAGAACGTGTGTGTGAGTGTGTGTGTGTGTGTGTGTGAGAGAGAGAGAGAGAGAGAGAGAGAGAGAGAGAGAGTCTCCGTGTATGAATGTGAAGAGAAACAGCCTGCTTGGGGGGGAAGAAAGAGAACGTGTGTGTGAGTGTGTGTGTGTGTGTGTGTGAGAGAGAGAGAGAGAGAGAGAGAGAGAGAGAGAGAGTCTCCGTGTATGAATGTGAAGAGAAACAGCCTGCTTGGGGGGGAAGAAAGAGAACGTGTGTGTGAGTGTGTGTGTGTGTGTGTGTGAGAGAGAGAGAGAGAGAGAGAGAGAGAGAGAGAGAGTCTCCGTGTATGAATGTGAAGAGAAACAGCCTGCTTGGGGGGGAAGAAAGAGAACGTGTGTGTGAGTGTGTGTGTGTGTGTGTGTGAGAGAGAGAACTCTATTTAGTATTGCAGGGTTGATGGCTTTGGGAGGAGACTGGCAAAGGGAAGGGAACTGCATGACTGGAACTCATGACCCGAGCCTAGGCGGTGTGTCTTGTTGGGAGTGGTTTGCAAATATATGTGTGTCTAAAGTCTGTATTAAAGTTGTTTGGTGCTAACTGCCATGCAAGAGGAAACATCTGAAAAAGTAGCTTCATTGTTGTGTGTGTTGGCAGAACACTTGACTGTTGCATGGGGGACTTTGGGGGACGTCTGCAGAGAAACAGAGTTGTAACTAAAAATTAGTATGGTCAGCAGCACTTTGGAGATTGCCTGTTTCATGAAATTTAAAAAGTGGGCAGAGTTTCTGAAGAAGTTGATTGTCCCTCTTCTCCTGCCACTGGGCTCACATCTGCCTTT